TCTCCCTAGGACCCTCCTGCCCACCCTCACCATCCAGGCGACGGAGGGCTGTAGACAGGGCGAGGTCACCGTGCAAAGTTGTGACAGGATGCGGGTCCCAGGGTGGGCCCAGCCGCCATCTTGTGGCCTGAGGGAACCCGGGTCCCGCCACAGGCGGTTCCAGCCACTTCCAGACATCCCGCAATTTCTCAGGACACCAGGTCCCGCACACTCACCATTTCTAGGCTTTCAGGAGGCCCTGGCTTCTTAAGCATGGATCTCTCAACACCTGCAGGTCACAGGGCCACCTAGACTGGGTCTGAAGGAGCAGAGACACAGCAGTAAAGAACGGAACCTGGAGATTCCGCCACAGCGGGAGGTGAAGGCCCCAGCATGTGCCTGAAGCCGCTAGGTCCTCTCCACTTGCGCGCCTGATTGGACAGCTCCCAACCCAGCGACAGTGATTGGATAAGGTCTTAGGACACACCTCCTTGGACCCTGAGTGATAGAAGATGTGACCAGACACTGGGCTGAATAAGGCAAGAGCGACAAAGATGGAGTCCATGTAGAGAGGGAGCCCAGGCAGGGCCGTGTCTGTCCATTAAGGAATCAATTCCTGTCTGCAGAGCATTGGTAATCACAGATACCTGGGGTCCCTCTGCCCCAGAGAGATGTCCACTTTCCCAAGAGCAACTGCAGCCCCTGGACCCTTCCAAATGGAAGGAAGAGGCAAACAAGAGCTTTTAAAAAGTGGAAGAGTAGATAATTTAAAGGACTCCTGCATTCATGAGGCCACAGGAAGGCAGGGAGCAGGGCTATAGGGTGTGGGGATGGGGCAGAAAAGAAGTGGTCAGTAGAGTATGCTGAGTTCTTTAGAACTGAGAGGTATGGACCAAGACAGAGGCGAGGCCAGGATAGAGCGAGTGAATTTAGCTCAGATGGCGAGGGGCAGAGCACAGAGGAGTTGTTGCCCAGAGAATCCCATGGAACCTGCAGTGGATGATCCCTGCTGCAGATAGTCCCTGCATGGTACCGGGCAGATGCATAACAACCCTAGTACGACCCCAGCCATGCTCTGCCCCTCAGCATCTGAGCTAAATCTTTCTGTACATGACGTGGGGCAAGCTCATGGCCTACAGAAACCAGAGATCCTGGGAGACTCTTATTAAGCCATTCTCCAGCAGAGCAGCAAACACCACCAGAGCTTCAGCCCAACCTGATCAGACCAGTCCTGACATGCCAGCCCAGCTTCCTCCCACCTTGACCTGGCAGATTCCCTCTTGGTGCTCTGGATCACAGACTAGGACCCAGGGTTTCCTGACACCTTGACCAGGACGGGAGCCCAGAACTTTCAGATCTCTTCACAGAAGATTGTTTTAAGAAGGATTCTGAACTTGACAATCTCATCTG